GTGAGCTGAGGCTCCATTTCTTGAGACTTTCAGTCAGACACCGTCCGGGCTGTCTCTGCTCTGCTCCTCCAGCCTGCGGTCCCCACCCAGTCATTCTCTTCCATCCCAGGACGCCCCAGGGTTCTGTCTCCTCAGGCCACGAGTTGGGGCTGTCCCTGTCAGGATTTGTTTGTGGTGAGGTTGTGTTTCATTGAGGCTGGGTATTGTCCGTGTCCACAGGGACAGGCTTCCCCGGAAAAGATGCGTCCTTTCCTTGTGGCTGGGTCCAGAAGCGGGCCCGGCAGCAGGAATGCAGCCGTGGGAGGGAGGGCAGAGAGAGGACCCGGGATGAGAGTTTGCGGGGCAGGGGATGAGAGTTTGCGGGGCAGCGGGGGAGTGCAGGAGGCGGGGCGCCCAAGAGACTTGGTCCATGTGGCTGCAGGGAGGTGTGGGGCGGAGAGCTGGGCACAGCAGATGGGATGCAGCGGCCAAGCCACTGGCTGGAGCGTGTCCTCAGGGGGCCTCACCCTGATTCCCTGGTCGTGGGCTGTTTGGGAAGGAGCTGCTTAGCCGCTACTGGCCAGAGGTTTTCTAGTAGCCACTAACACAGAATAAATTTGCTTCTCTTCTAATTTTTTGTGTTCTGGGGCCAGTGAGTGAAGGAGGGGAAGAGATCTCGGGATTGGCGTCAGCCCTGTGCAGCCGTAATGACGATGCCTCGCGGTGTCCCCACTGGTAAAATCCAGATGATCACAGGCTAGAAGTCCCAGACAGCTGAGTTCCCTGCAAGCGGGCGGGAAGATTCTCTTTCCTTCTCTTTCTTGCTTTTGTCAGCGTTACCTTAACTGAAGGCGTTCTGTGCAGGAGGTTGGCGCGTTTGGTCTGCCGTGGAATTTGATTAAACTTAGACGGTGCCATTTCAGCAAGATCTTGTGTGCTTTTCCTTGTCCCTTCATGGTCTCTGTTGAGGGAGAGCCTTACTGATGTGACTTCCATCTGAGGCAGTCCCAAACGGACTGCACCTGCTGCGGGCACTCGGGCTTTCCTGGCTCACGCTGATTGCTCAGCACCCAGCTCCCTGTCCCCTTGTCCCCGGGCTCTGTCCTTGGGGTCCTCTCCCCTTACGCATGAGGCCCCTGAGGCCCCCTGCTCCAGCCAGTTTCCATGCTGATGCTGAGCCAGCCCCTTTGGCTGGGAGGCTGGGTGCTGCGTGCCTCTGACACGCTGTGGTGGGTCCTCTGGTTCTCGCACAATCAGTGGTGGTGGGCTCAGATGGATCTGGGCCGGGCGCAGGCCCAGCCGCCTGCCACCCGTCTTTGTGCAACCCAAATTGTGGGGAGACTGATGGAGTGGATGTTCGGGAGCCAGCTGGTGCCCACAGTGCATGAGACGCTGTGCCCTCCGCAGAACTGAGCCTGCTGTGTGGTGAGCACGTCTCTCCAGGGCACTGCCCCCACCTCAGGGACAGGGTCATCTCACCCCCAGCAGCCCTGGAGCTGGTTCCCCTGCAGGTGGGTTGCACAGCTGAGGATGTGGAGGCACCATCTGCAGAGCCTCGTCCATCTGGGAGAGGTCAGGAGAGCAGGGTGTCCCCAGAGTCCAGGCCGCCAGCCCTCTGCTGCTTTTCTTTCTGCTGCTTCTCAGTGGAAGGGACCTTGGTGGTGAGTGTCCTGCCGTCCTCAGCTTCCAGAACTCTGAGCGTTGCTGTGGCCACGGGTGCGAGAAGCATCTGTCCTCCTGAGCCTCAGCATCCTGCTGCACACGTGCCCTGGGTGCTCACCTTGCCCATCTCCACAGATGGGGCAGATGCAAAGAAATGCTGTGGGAGCAAAGGTCCAGGTCTGTTTCTGTGATGCGGCAAAAAGCACGAAAAGCGATCTGGGGTGTTGAGTGGCTGCCCCGGCCTTGGAAACTATCTTGTGACGTGGAGCCACCCAGCCTCTGGACATGTCCCACGAAATCGTCCCGCAGGGCTCGCCCCTGGACCGCTGCTCTGACGGAACGCATCATCTTTTTGTTTAAAACCGCGACCTGGGTGCCCAGTGCAATCTTTCATTAGGATGCTTAAATTGGAAAGTGACCGCAGTAACACAGTCCAGACTGGAATTATGTCATGCTGCCGTCCGCCGGAGGACAGTGTGTGTAAGCGAGTCTCGTCCCCTGTCCCGAGGTCAGTCTTGGGCAGAGCGGGCTGCAGCCCCGCTCAGAGGGTCCCCGGGGAGGGCGCCAAGGGTCAGGCTCCACCAGACGATGGTGTGCAGACGTGGGTTCGGCACCCGCTTGGCTGCAGGGGAAGCAGGGTTTTCGGTGTGGCCTGAAGGGCCCAGGGGTGCAGGTCACGTCCGTGGCGCCAAGCAGGCTGTCGGGGGAGTGCACGCAGGCCTCTGAAATCCGGAAGCAGAATCGCGTGTTTTCGGGTTGGCCACCTGGAAAGGGTCCTCAGGAGCACGGCTTCCTGTGGACGCTGAGTTTGGGAGAAAACCGTCCCAGAGTGTGCTGTGATCTGCTGGGCCCTCATGGGTGATCCCAAACACAGAGCGCGGCGCCAGAGGCCGGTCAGGCGCGCAGGGGCCCTGAGCGTGAGCCGTGCACCTTCTGCGGGGTGGGCCCTCAGCAGCACAATGCCCGAGTCGTCAGTGGGAGAAGGCGCGCCCAGCTGGACTCTGTTCTTCCGCATTTTAAGTACAATTAGCACTCATGAAACTTGGACTCTGTGGTTTAGAAAGAGAGTGTTGGAGACGAGTGAACAGTGGGAGGGGAGAGGAGACGCAGCGTCCGACGGCTGCGCCCTAGCTCCTCCTGGAGCAGCCCCAGGCACAAACGCCACCACCTTGTCCCCCGACAGGAAGGATGACTTTTTGTGGCCGTGCCTCCAGCCGGCCTCACGCACGAGCAGAATCTGTGCTGAGATCAGACCCAGTAGAAAGCTTTGCTTTGCCCGAAAGCCTGAGGACCCCTCTGGCTCCCCAGGGCTCTGTTTCTCGGGGATGTTGTCCACGCAGCTCAAAGTGCAGGGTGTCTGTACCCCTCACCTCTTGGGTGGCTAAAAATACCTGTTTCCCTTCTTTCCTCACTTCCTCTCGCGACTTTGGAATCCATTGTCCCCTCTTCCTGCGGATATGTCGCCTCTTTCCTGTTCCCCGCAGTGCCCGTGGGGTCTGGGCGCACCGGCCAGGAGGGGCCGGATCCAGGGTGGGGGCCAGCCGGGCGTTTCCTTGTGTGACCAGCACCGGCGAGAACCCCCGGCATCCTGGATGCGCTCATGTGCGTTGCATCACGTCATTGCTGGCCTGTGTCCGTGTCACGTTTGCAAGCTCACCTGTAGGATGCGTAAGTGTTGGAGCCTTTTTGACTCAGTTCCTTGGGAGATGACGTGGCAGGAGAAGGCGCTGCCCTCCGTGCAGCTCTGGGGCCTGCACGGTCTCTGCAGCAGGTGCCCTGTCCCTCCTGTTGCCCGCTGCCCCAGAAGAGATGGCCCGTCCCGCGTCCGTGCTGGGGATCAGGCAGAGCGCGTGTGTGTCCACGCAGGCTGTGACCCCTGCAGACCACGCGCTCGGTGCCTTGAGTGCCGTGGACGCTGGTCGGACGTTCGCTGGCTGACGTGGAGTGGTGGGCGTGGGGTTCGGTGTCAGGGTCTCCGTGCCTGTGTCCCTCTCCCTGTGGACCAGGTCACTGCAAGCCCGAGGCCGCTGCAGCTTCTCAGGGAGACGGGCTCCCCCCTGTGCTGTCTCCTCCCGTAACCGCTGTGGTCCGCGCGATTCTCTAGGAGGGTTAACTCTGCCGACGGAGCATCTGTCCTAGCGAATCTCTGGAGAGGGCTGGGCGTGGGCGTGGTGGCACAGATGACAGATGGACCGGCGTCCGCTGCCACCTACCGGGTGCCCCCAGGGTGCCAGGCCCCGTCCTGACCCCCTGCGTTCAGATGCTTCACCCCTGCAGCAGCCGAGGCTGGCCCCCTATTGTCCCCGCGCTCCCATTGAGCAACTTGTGCCCAGAGACGCGGGATGCTCCGGGGCTCCCTGTGGCCTCTGCAGGAGAGCAGGGAGCAAGGATGCAGCCCCAGCGTGTGCGTCCATCTGTCCTGGGTCTCCCCCTGGGTGGGTTCCTGGAAGCCCCCATGCCTTGGTTTCTTCCTTTTGAAAGTAGTGTGGGCACCGTGTCACCGGGGTGAGGTGGGATGAAGCCAGCGGATAGGCCTGGAGCACAACACGGAGATGCGCGGGCAGGGGGTGGTACGCGGCCCCCGTCGGTGCCCTCACCAGCATCCCTTCTGCATGGGGTGGGGGGGCATGCAGGTGTGTCGGCGAGGGACCCAGAGCTTGCCTGCTGGTTCCTCCAGCGCGTTGTCCTGCGCGCCGTGGGCGGGCCGCGGCGTCGTCACTGCTGTCCTCGCCGCCTCGGAGCCTGGGTGTTTGCTTTTCACCCGGCCGTTGTGGTGGAAGCGGGCAGGTGCCCGATGGTGTAAGCCCTCGTGAACGGGGGAGCTGGGGACAGGACGGCCTTCTTGGGAGCCGGGCCGAACATCCTCATGACGTGGCTGGTTTCACGCTGATTCTCAGACTTCGTTTTCTTCCGAAAGCACATAGGGAAACAAAAAGTGCAAAAAAGAGAAGAAAAAAAAATAAAGCCAAGTGTGCAGAGACCTGGCCTAGACTCCAGAGTTTAGGGACTGAAGGCTTAAGGGACCGTCAACCAGTCCGTGATCCCGGGCACTGAGTTGTTCGTTCGAAGCTGAAGAGGGTCAGCCATCTGACCTAGGGCTCCTCTCTCCCCTGGACCATCGTGCCGGGCTGGGGGGGGTCCGCCAGCGAGCCCGGGTGTGGAGGGAACTCCCGCCGCGACCCTGGGAAGTCAGGCCGTGAGGACTGAGTGTGCACGGAGGCGTGATTTCAGGGGACAGTGGATGGCCTTCGAGGGGTGGGTGCCGGTCCTTCAGTGAGCGCCATGACTGGAGCTGAGTGCCCCGTGGAGCTGACGCAGCCCCTCTACCCGCGGTGACCGTGGTGTCTTTCCTTCTGCAGGGGTCCGAGGAGTGAGGTTTCCGGAGCTGCGCCATGGACCAGCCAGAGCCGCCCGCCCCCGCTCCCGAAGGTAACAGGTGTCCTGCGGGGGCCCTTTCCCACCTGGGGGGCCCTCGGGGAGAAGGGGAGGGGCTGCCCACAGGTCCTGAGGAGGTGGAGCTCTGAGCCTCCGCCCACCCAGCGCCCCACCCTCACTTTGGGGTGACCTGGCTGAGCCACCTGCCGGGGCCTGGGCACCCCCGACGGGCACGCGCCGGCACGGAACCTGTGAGGTCCGCCTCCTCCCGACCCATCACGGGCCCACCTGGTGATGAGGAAGGGCGGACCTCGTATTTGAGGGACTACACGTGGCTCCTTGGCCGCTCCAGGCGCCGGCGGGTGGAACAGTAGGGCAGTTTCCAGGTCTGCCTCCCTCTGCCCTTGGCTCGCTCAGGGAAAGCGCGGACCTCCTTTGTCTGGCTGCTCTGTACGTGAGGAGCGGTGGGGGGGCTGTCCTGTCCCCTGGCCAGAGCTAAGCCGCTGCTGGGGAGACCACGGTGGCACATCGAAGGGCCTGGTGGTATCACTCTCGGCTCGCAGGGCATGGCCTGCTCAGGGCTCCCGTCACCCGGGCCTTCCCTGGACAGACCCGCGTGTCCCCTGCTCACCGGGAGGCTGTAGGACCCGAGGGGCAGAAAGCCTCAGAGTCTGGGAGGAACCTGTGCAGGGTCAGAGCCTCTCCATTCCTTCTCCTTGTGCTGGTGGTGGCGCTCTGGGCCCTGAGCTTGGAGCTGGAGCAGAAGGAAGGCAGCCTGCCAGTAGGGCCGATCCTTGAGGGAGTCCGGGCCCAGGCCAAGGGATGCATCTCCTGCTTGCGCTGGGTCAGCACGGAAGGATCACCCCAAGGAGAGCCCGGTGGTGAGCTGGCCCCGTGGTTGAAAGGGGCCCCTGCATGCCTTCAGCCAGAGTTTCCAGGGGCCGTGAGCCCCGGGGTGAGGGTGGCATGCTGGAGGGCGCCCCAGGAATCACGCTGCAAGACCACCACGCGCCGGCTTCTGCGGGGCACCTTTGGGCAGGCCGGCTCCCCTCCTCGGGCCACGGCCAGCGGGGTCTGGTTGGGAGGGCTCTGGGTGACTTCCTGCTGCACGTTTCACCCACGTGTGAGGTGGTGACACTTAGACTCTTCCAGGCTAGATCTTCCCTTGACGGTTTTCATTGAAAAGGACACCAGCACTGCTCCCTGCTCTCCTTCCCTTCACGTGGGGAGTGTGCACCTGGGGTCCTCCCATGAACCCTGAGCTGGTGAGCCCAGCGCGCCTCACCGAAGGTGTGGGCGCAGGCCGGACGTGCCGGACGTCTTTTATCTGCCACCTGTACCTCCGAGGTGGGGAAGAAGGACGAGGCTCAGAGGGCGAAGGCCCCCAGAGCTGGGACAAAAGGGTAGTCAGGGGGCTGGGCAGAGGGCATCCCATCTTCCCTGCACGCCCACACCGTCCCCTTCGGCACCGCACGCTCACCTGTCTTGTTCTGTGTGCTCAGAGTCACGAGCAGGCCGACCAGCGAGGCCTGCCGCTGTGGGGCCCCAGCTGGTCCCGTCAGGCTGTCCACAGGCTCGGCCGCAGGCCCTCTCAGCTGGGAGCTGGCCCCGGGCGGCAGGAGGGTGGAGGGAGTCCCCTCCGTGCACCCCTGTTCTTGGTTCCCCGGGAGGTGTCCTCTGGGAGCCGGGACGGGTCCCGGCAGCTCTGGGGACATGGCCAGCAATCCTTACAGCGTGGAGAAGGTCCCCGTGTCTGTGGGCTGATGTGCGGTGTGGCCTGTGACTCTGGTGTGGATTTAAGGCCACTGTTTACAAAAAGAGGGCAGCATAGTTCAGAACTGAGGTGCTGACACCTCACGACGGTCTAGGCGGTTAGCTCTTGTGACCGTTTGTGATGGGCACGACGGCCTGGCGTCGCTTTGGGGCGAATCAGTGATACTTTAATTATAAGCTCCCCATCGTTAAAGCGTCTGCTCACAGCTGCCCTTGGATGCAGGGAAGGGTCAGGAAGGACCAGGTCTGTCTTGCCGGCACCACGTGGACACAATCCTTGTTCCCTGAGATTGGTGCTCTGCTCTTCGTACTTCTCGTAGACATTTTCTGCCCGTGCAGGGGCCGGGCTGTGGGGCAGGGGCGTGGTGATGGCCCCATGGGGCGTGAGCGGGTAGGCGGCCTCCCTGGGCTTCAGTCCCCTGTCCTCAGGAGCGGCGGCCCTGACCTGCAGGTTTGTGTGAGGTCTGGACCAGGCAGCGTGGCAACTGCTGCAGGCGCTTGGCGGGTCCGTGAGAAGGTGCCGCGGGCCTTAAGAATCCTATCAGGAGACGTTCCACGATAGGTCCGAACCCCACAGTGTCCTGGTGCCTTTCCGGAATTCATAGGTAAATTACATCCCCCCCCCCCACTGCCCTGGTGGTAGGGAAGGAGAAGCCCTCCATCGCCCCATTGCCGTGGGAACGTGGATGCACCCACAGCCGGGTGCCTTCCCCTGCTGACTACGGGTCGGGCTCCGACAAAGCACAGGGAACAGAAGCCGTGTGCGGAGGGTGGGGGGCGGCGGCCTGTGAGCGGGGGCATTGTTCTGGGGACACCGCTGTTCACAGGCAGCCACCACCCCAGGGACATCCAGAGCCAGGAGGAGGCTGACAAGGACGCGGCTGTGAATAGCCCCTTGTTGGGGGAGCTGTTTGCCCCTGCAGCTTTGCAAAGCACTTTTCTTCTTCTTTTCTAATAATAAGAAAGAAGGCACAAATACTCTCCTTTAGAAATGAAACATCTTATCTTGGATTAAGCTTTTAGGTTATAATAGATGTGGTCTTAATGGCCCCAGGGACAAAATGTGTCACCTTTATCTCTGAGCTTAAAAACAAATATTCCCTTATTCTTTTTCCCTCAGTGTCTGAGTTCCTCCACGGCATGGCTTTCAAACCTGTTGGTGGGTTTCAGCTGTCCTGGAGGGCTGTCTGCTCAAGGAAGGGATGACCTGGGAGGGACAGCCTTCCTCCCCGCTCTCAGTGTGTCCCTGAGCCCTGGAGCCCCTGTCCCCGTGAGGGGTGAGCGACCCGAGCCAGCCCATCCTGAGCCCAGGCTGTGTGTCAGCTGTGTAGACCGATGTGTGCCAGGAGCGGTGGGCAGGCAGTGTCTCCCTCCCTCCCTCTCTCCGCTCCTTAGGACCCTGTGAACATCCCTCCCAGTGGGAACTGTAACATTGTAGCCTGTAGTGACTTAGCTTTTGTTGCAGTTCGGGGTGAGACTAAGAAATTCTTGACCCCTAAGAGATCCAGTGTGAACTCTCTTTTCCTTGGAAGCATGCTGACCTCAGCAGTGCAGTTTGCTGCTAGACCGAGGCAGGTGGGACTCAGTTGCAGAAGGAGGGAGGTCGCAGGTCAGACTGCATTCCTGGTGCTGTGCTTGCTGACAAGATTGTTGTCGGGGCATTGATCAGAAGGCCAGCCTGGCACGGGGTCTGAGTTGGGGGCCGGGCTCCTCTGCCTGGAGGGCCGTGGGTGGGAGCCTGGGTGGTACGCCGGGACACACGAATGCACACCAGACATTGTCTCCCCCCTCGTGGGAAACAGACCATGAGCAGGGTGCTCGGGGCTCCAGGGTCACCCAGGGCAGGCTTAGGGCTCTCCAAGGAATCCAGGGAATCCGAGGCACAGCCCAGGATCTGGAGGCGCCTGGAAGGATGGAGAGAGGGTTGTGCCCAGCGCCTGTGGTTTCACCCAGGAACGCTGCAGGAGGTCGGGAAGGGGAGATTCCTGGTTGCTTGAAGCGAAGGCACTTCTCCGTGAGTTGGTTCATGGCACTGCAGTAGGCCAGGGTCTGGGGAGATCCTGTGGTTCCTGCCATGGGGATCTCTCACCCCAGAGGGAGTGTGCAGGGATGGAGAGGGAAGGAGACATGGCTGAGTTGGAGGGGCCTCATGGAAATGTGACTCCAGAGCTCTGGCAGGAGGTCTGATGTGGACACTGGGTTTTGTGCCAATGAAGAGCAAGGCCATGGGCAGGCCTAACCTCCCATGGGGAGGTTGTCGGTTACACCGGAATGCTCGTTGTGGGGGCAGAAGCAAGAGGGTCCCTCAAGGAGGAGTCCATTCTGGCAGCCATGCCAAATACCATGGACAGGGTCACAGACCTGCGTCTCTCAGAGCCCAGCTCCTTGCCGTCCACTTTCCTTCCTGAACATGTTGAACAGGAATCCCTTTCTCCTTGCATGGGGGAGCCCAGGGTTAGGTCCCATGGTGCTCGATGTCATCAGGCTTTTTTAAAAGCAGTGTTTACAAGGTCACTTTTAGGTGTATTTTACCTAACTCTTAATGTTCCCCAGTAATAGAGTATAACTTCCAGGAAGAGGGTTGATGGAGGGAAGAGCCAGCATGTGATTCCGAGTCTCTGCTGTGTGGAGTGGGATGCGTGTGCGGCGTGATTTTTATGTGGCTAAGTCAGACCATCAGCTTCTTCCCTCCTTCGCCCCGCCCTGGCCCCCCGTCATTTTGGCTCGTGTGTTGTTATTTCCCTGCCATGTTAATCTGGCAAACAGGGATCTACAGAGAGGGTCACAGTTGTATTTGGAAAACGTTCTGTCGGTTTGGGTTTTTCCATTGAAGAGATTTATTGCCCCAAGACGTGTTGACCAGTTTGTTTCTGTTAATAAGCTCACTACTTACTGATAAAGCCAAAAACCCAAACTACGATGATTTTCCCGTTGCTCGGCATGCGGCCGGAGTTGGTTGGACAGTACGTGAGCCTCTGTGACCGACGCGTGGGGACAGAGGTTCTGTCCACCCCCGACTCCAGCCCGTGTCTGGTGGTTTTAGTTGTAAACTCTCCTCGCAGGAAACGGGTGAGTCGTATCCATGTCTTTATTAAATACGAACCTCAGAGGATTGATACGCTCCACAAATTCAGACTGCCAAGTAGAATTGCTTAAGCCGGAAATGGCCATAAACAGACAGGAAATGTACTTGTTGTAGAAAGTTTGCAAAACACAGGAGCGTGGAGGAGAAAATGCCGGTCCTTTGCGGCAGCCCGAGTGCACCTCGGGTCGTATTTTGGTCTGTGTGTGAAAGGGATTAGATTACTAAAACCAAGGGTTTTTAATTGTTTTATTGTGGTGAAATTCACCTACCATTTACCACTCCAGCCATCTTTCCGTGTCCAGTTAAGCAGCATGAAGCTCATTCACGCCACCCTCCATCTCCAGAGCTTTCCATCTTCCCACGCTGAAGCTCTGTCCTCCGTAGACTGTCACCCCATCCCCTCCCCAGCCCGCGGGTCCGCCATCCTCCCTTCTGTGAGTGGAGTCGCACCGTGTCCACCCCTTGGGGACGGGTGCATTTCACTCGGTGCAGTGGCCTCGGGGTCCGTCCGTGTCGTAGCAGGGGCCAGGATTTGTCCGTTTCAAGGCTGTGTCCTGTTGTCTGTATCGACCACATTTTATTTATCCTTTCATCTGTGTGGGGACTCTGGGATTGTGTCTGCCTCTTGGCTGTTGTGAATAATGCTGCTTGTAGGGTTGCACACGTGGGTGGTCGCACACTCATACGCTTGCACACGTGTGTGCAGTTAAACACGTGGGTGGTCGCACACTCGTACGCTTGCACACGTGTGTGCAGTTAAACACGTGTGTGCTTGCACGCATGCATGGGCGTACAAGCATCTGCTTGAGTGCCTGCTTTTCGTTCTCCCACGTGAACACCTAGGAGCAGGGACTTGGGCCGCAGGGAGTGCCGTGTTGAGCGTGTTGAGGGGCCTCCGTACCGGGTCCACCCCAGCTGCTCCAGAGCACGCTCCCACCAGCCGCGCACCGGGGTTCCAGTTTCTCCAGCGCTCGCCAGTGTTTGTTATTTGCTATTAAATGAGTGTGAAACGGCCGATTAAAAACACTATTAGTATGTCAGAAACCTCTTTCCAAATTACTGAATAAACTTCAAAATAATTTTAATGGTTTCAGTGGTATCTCACTGTATAAATGTGTCATAATGTGGGAAATCTGTGTTTCATTATAAGACGTTAGGTATTCTAATGATCTCTGATTATTTCCTGAAGGTAGACGGTTCATGGTAGAGTTTCTGAGATGAAGGAGATACAAAATTAGAAGGCTCTGGTGAATACTGGCAATCTGCCATCCAGAGAGGGTCACCGATGCACACTCTTATCAGAATTACATGGTTTAGAAACGTCTTTTTCTAAAGCCTTTCCTTGATTGCATTTCAGTATTTGCCACTGTCACGCCTTTAGCATAAATTGGGGTGAAGTTGTCCCAGAATGCTGCTTGGAGTCCCATGTGTGCCGTGGATGCGGGTGTCCCGGCTGAGAGGCCCCTCCCGCCTGCCCCATCGCGGGCACGAGCCTGAACTCTCCGTTACTCATTGCTGATAAGAAAGTGCTTCTTTTGGAGGCGCCTGGGTGGCTCAGTTGGTTAGGCGACTGCCTTCGGCTCAGGTCATGATCCTGGAGTCCCGGGATCGAGCCCCGCATCGGGCTCCCTGCTC